CTCGATCTAGGACTACTCTATTTGTAACTTTGTCCTGCCAGGTGATACCAACGCATATGGAACGTACAGTATATGGAACGTGTTCAGCTTCCTCTCCTGCCATGTACAAAGGGTCCAGGACTCACTGCAGTACAGGAGTGTGCTCAGGACACAGGCTCTATAGACCTGGATCTTGGTATATGCCATCAACTTCTTATTCAGCCATAATCTCTTTGTGAGTCTAGAGAACATGGTAGATGCTTTGCCAATGCGTCATCCAGCTCGACATCTAGGGCAAGAGTGTCAGAGATCGTTGAGCCAAAGTACACAAAGTCATGAACAACCTCCAGTTCTTGCATGGAGATGGTAATAGAGGGAGGTGAGTCCACGTCCTGGCCCATGACTTGTGTTTTCTTCAGGCTGATTGTTAGTCCAAAGTCTTGGCAGGCCTTGCTAAAATGATTCATGAGTTGCTGGAGGTCTTCAGCAGAGTGGGCAACAATGGCTGCATCATCGGCAAAGAGGAAGTCCCACATGCATTTCAGTTGGACTTTGGTCTTCGCTCTCAATCTAGAGACAGTAAAGAGCTTTCCATCTGATCTGGTCCGGAGATAGACACCTTCGGTTGCAGTTCCAAAGGCGTGTTTCAGCATGACAGCAAAAAAGATCCCAAACAGGGTCAGCGCGAGGACACAGCCCTGTTTCACTCCGCTTCAGATATCAAAGGGATCGGATGTTGAGCCATCAAAAAACTACAGTGCCCTTTATTCCCTCATGAAAGGACCTGATGATGTTAAAGAGCTGAGGTGGACATTCATCCCTGCTAACCAAATCAAAGGCATTTGTAAGATCTATGATGGCCACAAAGAGTGGCTGTTGTTCCCTACATTTCACCTGCAACTGTCTGAGGGAAAATAGCATGTCAGTGGTGGATCTATTAGGTCGAAATCCACACTGTGATTCTAGATAGACTCTGTCTGCAAGCACCTGGTGTCTCTTCAGCACAACACGAGCAAGCAGCTTCCCTACAATGCTGAGAAGAGAGATGCCACGGTAGTTATTGCAGTTGCCCCTGTTTGCATCCTTCATGTCCTGTTGTACTCCACCTTCCTTCCAGCAAAGATGAAAGACTTCATACAGTTCGGTGGTGATGATCTCTTTACAGCAAGAGCCAATACAACTGGTTTTGTGACATCGCAGGAGTTGCCAGAATGACACAAACTGCCTCCAGGACTCCAGCTCCGGATTTTGCCTCAAGGTTAACTCCTGAAGTAGTACTAAAAATCCAGTCAAAGCAGTAATGTATAACAATCCATTTAAAAATCACACACAGGTATCTATTGACTGAGAGAAAGTTTGCCTTGAAGAGTCTTTGCCTACTTGTAGAAGAATATAAAAAATGGGGCTAGTCTGGCCTCCAGTGGGAGGGAGTTCCAAAGTCTGGGAGCAAGAACAGAGAAGGCCCTCTTCTGTGTCCCCACCAGATACACCTGCAAGGGTGGTGGGATTGAGAGAAAAGCTTCTCCTGATTATCTTAACACCCGAGCTACATCATAATGAGAAATACTGTCTTTGAGATAGCTTGAACCCAGACCGTTTATAGGTTAAAAACCGGCACTTTGAATTGTGCCCGGAAACTGTGTTGCTGTAACAGAGGGGTTATGTGGTCCCTGTAACCAGCCCCAGTCAGCAATCTGGCTGCTGCATTTTGGACCTGCTGAAATTTCCTGACACTTTCCATCGGCAGCACATCATAATGAGAAATACTATCTTTGAGATAGCTTGAACCCAGACCGTTTATAGGTTAAAAACCGGCACTTTGAATTGTGCCCGGAAACTGTGTTGCTGTAACAGAGGGGTTATGTGGTCCCTGTAACCAGCCCCAGTCAGCAATCTGGCTGCTGCATTTTGGACCTGCTGAAATTTCCTGACACTTTCCATCGGCAGCCCCACATAGAGCATGTTACAAAGATATTTGCCTCTTTCCACTGCCTTATGTTATCAGCTATTGTGTCACACCAAAGAACTTTACTATTAGAAAAAGTACTATTATAATGTGGTTTTTTTATGGAGGGAGAGAAGGGAGAGGATTTATTTAGTATGGATGTTCCTCTTTTCTCAGGTTTTGACTGGCCTGACCAGTTAGAACTGGCACAGCTGGCGCTGCCATAAGCCTGAGTGAAGCAATTGCCTTAGGTGGGATAACAGTGAGAGTGGCAAATTTGACACTCTCCTTCTTACTCTGGTTCAATTGGGTCTTATGGGAAGAATGACTAGGAGGGCTTGAGGGTTCTCTGTACCCTCTAGAGAGCCAGGTGCTCAGAAGTCCTCTGGCTGGTCTTCAGTGATTGTGGGGGCTTGTAAGTGCTGCCTTCTCAGAATCACTTGCATGGATTAAAGTTTTGTATCCTAGCAGGCACATGAAAAAGAGACAATCACTTGTCAGGACTGACTTCATGTTTCAAATGCTAGAAGGAGCTTTCAAGTCACACATTTACTGCTTTGTTCCCTAGAGGACCTTTGTAGAACTTTAACTACAGAATGCCTTCTTGTTTCTTCCTTTAATTACCTAAGTGCCTGCTTCGAGCTGGTCCTTTTCCATCTTGTCACAGAGCTTGCAGGCATGGCTGAGTAAAGACTATAATCTGGTAGAACAGCATTATTTTTCTCATCCTGTAAGAAGTCCTGTGTGATTTTAATTCATTTCTCTCTAAGAACAACGCGGTGCCTTGAAGAAAATGGCATGTAGCGTAGAATCTGACCTACAATTCTATGTGCCCCCTTATTTTGGAGCGATGTCTATATAACTTGGTGGGACCTAACTACCATCCAAATAAAAGTATGATTAGAATGTTAAGGACCGCACATGAAAACGACCGATGGTCCTAACTCTCAAAAAGAATCCATCTAGCTAACTGTTCCTTCCCAAGATAACCCAATTCCCATTCCTAGTTAGCTCTCTCTGTGTGGGAGTCTCTGCCTGTAGCGCACGCTGAGGAGAACAAGGAAGCCATATCTTGAAATTGCTGTGCTATTTCAGACTGCAGTTAGGAATGTCAGTTTGAAAATGTTTCCTGGGACATACATTCCAAGCAACTAAGCAAAACAAAAACTAATATAGCAGAGAAAAATATTTGCACCCAGCCAATGCCATGTACTTGCAGAGAGTTTTTTTCCCCCCCAGATGGGGAGTGTTAAAAACACAATCCATCAGCTGCAGTCTTAAATGACAGCCATCTCAGGAGGACTCTACCACCAAGGCCCTGTGTCAGGAATGGGAAAAATCTCAACACGTGTAATAACCAAATGCAGTCATTTTGATGATGAGTAGGTGGAGAAGTTAGTTTTTCACAAAGTTAACCTTTCCCTTCTGGGCTTCTTTTCTGATCCCATCAGCCCTTAGTTAGCAAGTATCATCATTCCCATGCTGCTGAAGTCCCTCTGCTAAGTTAATTAGAAATATATGTTCAACTGTACTTAAAAATGTGTATCTCTGAAGCACAGTAGCTCCATTCTGATTTCCTCTTGCCACTTCACTGCAACAACTGAATAGTGTACTTCAAGACACTCTTTGTTGTTCAGGCAAGGTGCCCCTATGTCCAGTGCAGAGGCTGCACCCACTGAATTGGAGTTGTTGCTTTACTGTTGCTCAGAGTTAAAAAATTGCCAGTTTCTCCTTCTCTTTGCTCACCTAGTACAAGAACAAAAGAGAAGAGACGTTGAGAAGCAGTCTGTTGACTGACATACGTCAGGCTTCTTCATATCTGGAATGCCCGGCTCCCTCCTTGCTCTGTCAGCCCTCCATCACCAGCTGCCTTTGCCTGCAGTACCACACCTAGCAGTTCTCTGGCCTCAGCCCCTAAGTTTAGCCAGATCTAATTCCTCAGCTTCTATGACAATTAAGTGACTGACTTTCTTCAAAAAGAGGGACTCAAGGTTGCTAGCATTACATTTTACTAAATACAGTACATGCATTTAAAAGATAAACAGGGTTGAACATTGCACCTCCTTGAATCCTAATTCTGGGAGAAAGATGAACTATATGTCAAATAAAATAGATATAATATTATAAATGAAATTTACAACACTGCACTCACTTAGAAAAAAAGCCCTTGAGATTAGCTGCCTAAAATGTGGTCTTTGTCTGTCAACAGACAGACAACAGGGAGGAAGCCAGACTAGAGTCCTTTGATAAGAGCCTAGGAACAGCCACCAAGAAGGCCCTATCAGATGCCTCCAGCAGATATGCCTCTGATGATGGCAGGATAAAAAGAAGGGCTTCTTCTGAAGATCTCAACACTTGGGTAGATTTGCACAGCAGAATGTGTTCTATCAGAAACCTTTATTCCCAAGCCATATGGGGTTTTATTACGGTAAGTCATAACTGGCATCTTGAATTCTGCTGGGTAAGGACATCTTATGAAGGAACACCTGGCAGGTCTGAGCAGTGGGGGCAACTAAACAGGAATAATGGTTGTTGTGGGTTTTTCGGGCTCTTTGGCCATGTTCTGAAGGTTGTTCTTCCTGACGTTTCGCCAGTCTCTGTGGCCGGCATCTTCA